AAGGTTAGGAAACTTTGATCAATCCTATTAAAAATCTAGTGACATTAAGGACAAAAATTAAGGACATGTTTTAGAAAATTTAGAATAATTCATAATTAGATTCACTTCCTCTTGGTTGAAACTTCAACCACTTGAACTTAGTGGACATGGTTACAGCCACTAGGAAAAAACTTTCAACTGTTTTGGAAAATCATTAAGGCCCTTAATTAAATTTTTCTAAGATTAAGCTTTAATTAAAAGCTATAAAACTTCCCATAAATTATAATTAATCCATTTAAATCAAAAATTGCATTAAGACCCTTTTTAACTTGCCATAATTAAATCCTTAACCATGAAATTAAAAACCTAACCTGATTTGACAGCAATTCTGTAGTTAAATTTTTTAATTGAAAACCCATGTTTAATTAAAAATAATTAATTAATAATAATAAAAATTCCAAAATTTCCCAAACACTGGAAATCTCTCCCTAGGTCATTTTTCCTGCCTTTGGAGCGATTCAAGGAGTTGGACTTTTCATTTGGAATGAATATGCAAAAAAGAACCCTTAATTAGGATTTTCATAATAATTCCATAAAATAATAAACTTCAAACCTTCATAAACTAATTCAAGAAAAATCCAAATTGATCCAAACTCAATTGCATTCAATTCATAATAGGCCTAATTATTTTATTAAAAATATAAATTCCAGAAATCTTGTTAATATTTCAAAAAGTCAAACAAATTAGTCAACTATAGTCAAAAAACTAGTTCAAAACTCAAAACATTTATAATAAAAATGTAGAAAAAATCCGATTTCAACGTACTTACTGTCTAATGATCGTAGTGAGTCTAGTATGTTTAATAAAATGTTAACTTACAGAAAACACCCTTAGTTAAAAAAGTAAATTTTGAACTTATAAATGATTAAAATATTCAAAAATTCATAAAATAAAATACTGTCTTAAAACTTCCAGGAAAATGTTAGCTTAATGTTCCAAAGCACTCAACCAAAACCTTTAAAACAACAAACACCATTCCTAAGATGAAGTTATTTTGGCCGTGACTACTCCGGGCTGCGGGGCTAAGTGTCCTAAGGAGGCTGGTTCCTTGAGCCTGTGGTGGGGCACAACGCCACGAATAGATTTCTAAGGGGTGTTAAACCTTAAATAGATTAATCATAATTATTTAACCTTTTAAAACCTCTAATTCAAACTACATTAATTGATTTATCGGCTGTCTACTCCGGGCTGCGGGGCAAGTGTCCTAAGGAGGCTGGTTTCCTCGAGCCTGGTGGCACAACGCCACGAATCAATTAATGACAAAACTTAAATAATAACTTTTAAAAAATCAAGCAATCAAACCTTTTTTTTAATAAAATTATATTAACTTTCAAACCTTAATCGAATCAAATCACTTATTAATATGGTGTACCACGAGTAACCAGGGCCCTATGAGAGGCTATTAGCAGGCCCCATGAAAGGTGAAATTGAAATAACTCACGGCCTCGGTGGTGAAATATAAGGCGGTTTCCAACAATAATTAGAAATTAATTTTAAAGAGTCAATTCAAAGCATTAATATTTAAATTCTAATAATTCCCTTAAGCTAATCAACCAAATGAACCTTATAAACAACTTCAATCTATAATCCTACTTAGACAAATCAAATCATACGAACCTACCGTCACAACACTTTTAGATGGTTGCCTAGGTAACCAACTCTAGTTTAGGCTAGTCCGTGTGTTTACTTTGTTGGTGTGCGCGGCTTTCAAGAGTTCCTGCAATGCTTTTGCCTAGTTTAGAAATTAATTGGAATGTTTATTTATTTACTGGCAATCTGTTTGAGCACTTAAAAATTTAAATATTATGCTGAAATTTACTCTTGAGTAGATATTCAATTACTTACTGAGAATATAATGTGAATTTTATATAAACTGTTGATTTAGATAACCTTGCGATCGAGTTCTAGATTTTCATTGCTTAAAGAAAATTGATTGAATAAAGGTTGTAAATTCCTTATGAAATAACTTGAGTTGGAATATTAATATCCAATTTTGAAATTCCAAAGAGGTTGAAGACTCCCTAAAGAGGGGAGAGTTCTTCTTTCCATTTGGAAGTCAATTTGATACCATTCAAATATTCCAAAGAGGGAAGAACACCACCGTTCAATGGGAGTTTCTTTCCATTGGATATCCGAAACCGTACAATCAAGATATAATGCTCTGATGAAGACAAAAGATTGCAACGAGAAGCAGCCCCAAAATCTCAAAGTCCATTTGATATTAAGATTAGAAACGTCCGGATTTGTCTGCTCCAGCGTGGTGGCCCGCCACTTAATTTTCCTGCAAAATTTGGATGTAATAAAGAAGTGGCAAACTTGCCATTATGGACTTTCATTTGAGCATTTTAATTTGATTATTTTATAATTTGATTGTGTAGTAGAATACCTATTTTCTTGTCTTTTTAACCGCATGTCGATTTTATTTGACCTGAATTCGATCGTAGAACTTCTTAAGAAACTTAAAATTTCTACTTAAATCAAATTAAAAAACTTAACTCACATAAAAACTCTACGTTTTAATAAAGTAAACCGCGGATCGCCGGGAGTTCCTCATTCATGCATTCAATTCAAAATTCAATTCTTTTAATCGAGTTTGATTAGCATGCATCAATATTAACAACTAATCTAAAAACCTTTAAACCCTTAATTTTGCATTTGCTTAAGCATCAAACCCAACATAAGCAGGGCAATTAAGGAAATCCGCTCTAGATGTCGGGCCCTTCCTCAACAACATATTAATTAATCGCCATCCTTTCTATATTAATTTGAACTTGATACATATTTTTAAAGCATCTAGGTGGTTTAGCTGGGCTTCCAACCAGGCGGGGTAAGAACCAGATTTGCATTTGCACTACTCTTAGGTTCGGGGCCTTTTTCATACCCAATTAACTTTAGTTCTAGGCTTGGCTCGGGGCTATAAAACCTCAACTCCGGGAAGAATCCCAAGCTTTCTTAATAAAATTGCCATTAAATTAATATCTTTTCCATCAAATATAAGCCCAACGCTTAAAGGATAGGCTGGGGTGTTTTTTTGAATTATTTTCAATTCAAAAACACTCCCCTACTCCTTCTCCTTTGACTCTGGAAAAAATAACTGCCCAACTTGAACCAAATACCACTTTGGAATTCCTACCCTTTTCTTTCCTTTTGATGTCAAACTTTGAAAATCCAAAAATGAAATTATAAGCCGCTAATTTAATCGAGGTTTTTCGTAGGAAATTCCGATTTCCTACCGATGGTAATAACTAGAGGGCTTGCACTCGTAGGAGATTTTAGAAAACCCAGAATTGATTTTCCAAATTAATTTTTTAAACCGCTTAAATTGAATTCTTTGGAAAATTCAGATTCCAACGATCGTTATCTTCTATTTTCAAGGAATCAATTAGTGATTGATACAACTTCTTTCTCAGATAGTTATATCAATTTCCTATAGTGATTTTGATATGAAATAACGGTCCTCTATTCAGTTATTGTAGTTAAACAATTGATTTGAACATTAAATTTATTGATTTTCTTCGAACAATGATGTTGTCTTATTGAGTTCGACTACGATAATTTGGATAACTTTTAAAGCTTTGAAATTCGGGACCAATTAGTGATGATACCCTCTCAGAAATTAATTAAAATAGCCTTGAGAGGGTTTGACAATGATTTACAACCATTTGGAATTTAATTCAAAATGGAAAGGCTCAAGGGTTGATTTTGGTAAACCTAGGTTGACTGGGTCAACCAGGTGGGTCCTAGATCTAGAAGTGGATTCAATCAATTCAAAACAACATTTTGAGTCTATTGGATGTGGTCCCAAGTCCTAAGTAAGTCATTTGGTTCAAAACACATGTTCGGACCCTTAAAGGGCCTTTTGGGTCAAACTTGTTGACTTGGTCAACCAGGTTGACCCAAGGGTTGGGAATGGGTCCAACAAATTTGAAATGACATTTAAAACTTGCTGGAAGTGGTTGCGTTCAATTCGGAGGTCGTTTGGTTTGAAATCAGCATTTGAATCCCATAGGGGTATTTTGGTCATTTTGACCCCTGGTCAACTGGGGGTCAAAGTGGGTCCAGAAAAATATAGTTTAATATTCAACATATCAATATTAAAGGTCTGAAAGTGACTAGAGGCTTTGGTGAAGGCTCTAAGGTCAGAATCTTCAAAGTGCAGGTCTAGTGGCATAGACTGTAAATATTTGAAGGTTTTACAACCTATGGATTTTAATTAAGTTTTTGAGGTTAGAGACCTCAGAATGGGCTCAAATTTGGAGGGTTGTCTCCAGAGACATGTTCCATCAGTATGCAACTGACAGACTCTTAATCGGAGGTCATTTAACTGGGTTTCAAAGTGTTTGAAAATTCAATGAAAAAGGCCTTTAGGACAATACCTTTGGACCTTGGATTTGGTTTGATTTACCTAAGATCTAGGTAGATCCTAAGGTCTAAATAGATCTTAAAGTTAAGAATCTAGAAAGATCCTAGAGCCTAAGAAATTCCTAGAACTTGGAGTCTAGAAGAAGTCTTAGGATCTAGAGTAGATCCTAAGGTCTAAGCTCTAGAAGAATTCTAGGATAGATCATAAGGTCAGGATTCTAGAAGGATCCTAGGATTTAAATTGATTTGGAGATTAAATTAATTTAGGGTCAAGAGTAGTCCAAGTGACCTTATACAAAAATGAGGTCAACAACCCTCCTTTTTAAAATAGCCATTTCCAAATACGAGACAGATTTTCCTAGCCCAATTTTTAGAACTTTTATTTTATCCAGTGAACGTACGTAGAGGAACGTTCGGTTTTAGGCAAAAAAATGCCTGTGTCGAGTACCGCTCGATACAGGCATTTTTTTTTGCCTAAAACCGAACGTTCCTCTGCATACGTTCACTGGATATAATAAAAGTTCCAATTTTTAGGATGGGTTCTAGATAAGTTTGGGGTCTTTACACCCGACTCCCGGCTCCCGGCTCCCGTCTCCCGGCTCCCGGCTCCCTGCTCCCGTCTCCCGAGTATTTCGACTCCCGACTCCCGACTCCCGACTCCCGACTCGCATCTTCGGCTTCCTACCCCCTTCGTCCGCATCAGTGATATCTTCATCCCGAGCCGACTCTGATCCAACTTGGCTCTCTTTAGCTATAGGCAGTGCGGACGCAAAGAATATAATTCCAGCGCATTCGCAGTGATCTTTTGAACTTTCTTCCTTGGATTGGATCACAGGGCTTTCCCGGCGGATCGTTGCACACCATCTCCATCATTGACTTAGTCAACCTCAATTTCTAATTCGATAAGGAATAATTTTAGGTTTACTGCTGAAGCGACTCGGCATGCCTCTTATTCTCTGGGGTTGATGATGTACTTCTTGAAGTTGTTCCAAGCCAGCCTTAGGTAAGCTGTGATCTCTAACTCGCCTATATGGTCGGTGTGATTTTAATATTTGTTAATATTTCAGGGGATTTTTGTTGCTTGATGACATTTCAGGGTTTGATTTGTGGGTTCGGTGCTCGTTCCACCTGCATTTCCGGGTGATTTTGACCTCATTCAAGTTGTTTTCTCTTCACACAATGTTTTGAGCGTGGGGCTGGGTAATTATATTTAGCTGTGGAATGTCTGCATTGCAGCAGAAATTAGCATTTCAGAAGAAATGACAACATCAAATATGCTTTTTTATTTATTTTTATGTAATAAATTCATAAGAATTCGACGCATGCTTTTATTTTATATCAAGACAAAATAAAATAAAAATAAAACAAACTAAAAAAATACAATAACAACATTAAGCCTTTATCTCATTATGTAGGATCGACTATATGAATCTTTTTTCTGTATTGAGGCTTATTAAGATTCAAATTTTCATTTAAATATAATTAAAAAAATATTTTTAATATTTTCTAACCAAATTTTTTTAGGTCTATATCTAACTTTCTTAACATAGGCTGAATCTAATATATCTACTATCCTAATCGGGTCATCGGAAGGATGGCATTTTATGTGACCTAATCATCTAAGGCGACTCTTTCTAATCTTATATGTTGTTGAAGCTACTCTTATGTTTCACATATATACTTGTGTCACATTCTATCTATAATTGTACAACCACTCATCCACTTGAGCATCCTCATCTTTGCAACACTTAATTTAATTTTATGTTTCTCTTTTAATGGCTAATATTCTGAGGCATAAAATATTGTAGGCCTTACTGCCATCTTATAATTTTTTTTTTAGTTTGAGAGATATTTTTTTATCACACAATAGACCCAATACATTCCTCCACTTCAACCATCCAACTTGAATTCTAATAATAATATCCCTATTTATTTCATCATCACTTTAAACAATAAACGCAAGATATCTAAAATGCGCACTCTTTTTAATGACTTAATCACCTAATATCACAATCCCACCGTTAGATCTATTTACTACTAAAATTTCACTCTATGTATTCAACTTCAAATCTACTCAAACCAAAGCATTTCAAGTTTTTTTTTTTTAAACTCCCTTTCTAGTCTTATGATCATGACGAATATCATTAGCAAAAAGCATACACCAAGCTATATTCTCTTGCAAATGTTTAGTAAGAACATCCATGACTAAAGTAAAAAATATATGGTCTTAAAGCTGATCTTTGATGTAATCCAACTGAAATAGGAAGATACTTGGTCAAACCACCTTTTGTTTGAACACACATAATAATAGTTCATGTATACACATTCTTCTAGAACTTACTAGAGCACTTCTCTTGAAACTTTATCATATGCTTTCTCTAAGGAAGAAACTATATCATATGTAGACCCTCCTTACTCTCTATATACTTCTCCATCAAATCTCCCAACAATTGTACAGCTTCCATAATAAACCTACCCAACATTAATTCAATTTGATTTGGGAAATATTAGCATCACGTCGTAACTTATGCTTAATTACTCTATCCCACGACTTTAATGTATGACACAATAACTTAAATTTTCTATAATTCATACACTCTCATGCATCACTTTTATTCTTAAAAATAAGAATTAATACACCACTTCTCCACTCATATAACATTTTGTTAACCTTCAAAATAATATTAAAAAATTTAGTAAGCCAAGAAATACCTTGATCTTCTAAGCATTTCCACAGCTTTATATGAATACCATTAAGTCTCACTATTTTTTCACACTTCATTTTCTTTAAAGACTCTAACTTTAATATCATTAATACAACAATAAAAACAAAATTATCTTTTTTTTATTTAGAGTGTTAAGGTTACTAAATTTAATCGTATTCTTACAATCTTCATTTAAACTCTTATTTTCAATTAATCCCATCAATCTTTGTAAATAATTTAAGACCAACATACTTTCATTAGCAAATGATAAATAAATGATAGAAATTTGACACTCAATATATTATCCCAATGAAGGATATAAATCAAACATTCTAGACATTCCTCTAGAAGAAACCTCATTAGCCAAAAGAAACAAGATTGGAAAGAGTTGATACAATCCCTTGGGTTATTAAAAAAACCCAAACAAATACCATTTATTAATAATGAAAACTAACTATTAGAGATGCATGCTTTCACCAATTTAATCTACATTTCAAAAAAGCAAAACATTCTAGAACTTTTTGTAAAAATTTCAACTATATCTTATCTTAAGATTTAACTAAATCAAGCTTAATAATAGCATCACCCCCTTTTATTTTCCAAGTCCAATTCATCTAATATTTCCTATGACACCAACGCATTAATACAAATATTTTTTTCCCTTAGCAAATGCACTTTGATTTGGAGAGATCAATTTAGGAATATGAGAAGTCAATATTTTAGCTAGCAACTTATTTATGATATTGCTCAATGCAGTGTACAAACTAATTAGCCTGAAGTCACTCCATTTTTTAAGATTAACACATTTATGAATAATTATAATTGTCCTAGAGGTAAAGAATCTAGGAATCTTTGTTTTATTTAAGAAATTCGATCAACATTTAATTTTAAATAGTAATAACCTGTAATAAGTTATCAACCACAAATATTAGTTTTTCTCATCTTGAAGACATTCGTCCGAAGAATCATTGATCTCTCCATGCTAATAAAGCATACATTGTACTAAAGTTAAACAAGATTTGTTGCTAAGCATATTCAACATTTTTATGATGATATAAGGGTCTCACATTGCCAAGCAACCTGCAAGTACAAATTAGCAATTATTTATTGGAGTGCTCAAGAATTTCATGAAGGTGGCCTTGTTCTTGTGCATATTCATCCAAAATGCTTTCCTATACATACCTTCAAAAATCCACTGGCCTTTTCAAAATCCTATGCAAATTAGGCCTTAATGCATACCTAATTGCATTGCCTCCAATACTAAAATTAGCCTAATTTTTAAAATTAATTATCTTTTAGATTTTAGAGACACTTTTGAACCTCCTTTATTACGTAGTTGTGTTTTTTTATGTGGAGTTGTTGTTTTTATACCTACACCTCTGTGCCTATTTTGTTTTTGATGCATCGCTACACGGCCATCATAGTGGATATGAGATCACCATTGGACATTTTGAATAACCTTATCCTCTAGAGGGTAAATCTTGTTCTCTCTTTATGAGTACGACACATTTCACCCACCCTCTTTGATGAGAACATTGATCTTCACTTTCTATGTGAGAGTTCTCTCTAGCCCAGGGAGAGAAGTGCAAATCATACCACCCCATATTTGGCATGCTTCTTGGCTCACCTTAATGGTTGATAACTTGATGTTGTGTGTCATTATTTATCCCTCATATTGTGTCACTTATGTTTCACCTTATATGCCACCCCAAATAGTTGAGATAAGACTAGTGATATGATAAGTTGCTTCATGTTCTTGTCATTTGAGATATATTAGGGATTTCTTGAAAGTATCTTGGCTAGTTAAGACATCTTAATTCTCACCCCTCCTTAATAAAGAGGGGCTCTATTGTACTTACTAAAAATGATGAATGTTTTATTAAGAATAAAGTCATCAACAAACTCCTCTTTCTTTATGCTCTCATCAAGCTTCTTTCTTTTTCATCTCCTTCTATCACTTCAAATCTTTACTCTTCTTTTGTTCTCATCTATTTCTCTTTCTATCACTAAGCACTCTTCTTCTTGCTCACTTGGTCTTCAAGATTTACAAGATTTCTTCTAATAGTGTGAACTTCGTTCTGCCATAAAGGTCTAGTTTGGCTACTTAGAATGAGGTGGTCGCTCAAATCCCACTTCGCATAGTAATTGCAACGTTAATATCTTGTAAACTTTCTCATGTCATTACTTATGGGATGTTCCTTTATGAAATTTGACCTGGCCGTGTCTGTAGCCTTATGTCATAATTTGCACCATGCATCGCTATGACTTTTTTTAGAGTTCCTCTTTGCCTTTCTTATGACAAATTATGCTACATTTCACTATGGCTTTTGTCCGAGATGTGTTTCATAGCTTATCTTATGTTTTAAGTTGTGCCATACTCTGCCATTGTTAATGATGTGGCCATGTCCAGCCTTTCTCATGGAGTAAGCTGCCCTATGCTCCACTATGACTTCTGGATAAGACTTATCTTGAAGCTTTTCTTATAGCAAAAGTTGTACCACAATTTACTATGACTTTTGGTTATACCTGTCTCATAGTCATACTTATGTCGTAATTCATGCTTTGTTCTGTTAGTTTCCAACCTAGGAGTAGTTTTTGCCTTTTTTTTATAAAAGTTAGATGATAGTCGAATATGAATGAATTTGCCCATGCATGGAACCATGCAAGATTCATGATTTGAAAATTATTTTTATTTTATTTATCATTTATGGCCTTGTGGCTATGCACGGAATTGTGGCTATTAAACTATTTTCTCTTTATCATGCATGGCCATCCATGCAACCAAGTTTTATCTATGGTCAACAATGCCTTCATGCAAATTCAAGAAATAGTTGATGTGTATTTCCTTTCCAAGTCATGAAAACCCTGAAAATAATTTGTTATTTCCAAGCACAATGCACAAAATGTTTTTGTGCATCTTTTTATTTGCTCGTCATGATTTGTTTGTTCTGTTCAATGGATGTCATGATTTTTTTGTTCTGCTAACAAAAATATAATTACACCAAGGAATCTTTGACTTGATAGCCACGAGTTATTGAAAATTTAATCACCCGGTGCTATTGTTTATATTAAGCTTTTTTAATTTAACATTTATAGTACAACATAAATTCCTGACTTAAAAAAAGTTATGTTGTCACTATCAAGCCTCTCTAATAACCGATGTAATTTAGTAAATCTTGGATGATGAAACTATGAGATATTAACTGGATATATGCCCCAAAGCCTCAATTAGATTGCTTGCACCATGCTAATTTAAATTATATTGCTTGGCACTTGATTGAATGTTCTCTTCACTCATATTAGGTAATTAAAAATGGAAACTTTTTGCCTATTAGAAATGTTGAACCTCACACTAATAAAATCCTTAGCCTAAGGTTAAATTCAAAGGATTTATCCACTATTTCAATTATTCATCTAATAATTAAATTTGTACCTCACACTAATCATAATTGAAGGCTTTTTTTTGTTCTTGACAAATTTATGCACAAACAACCCACCCAGAATTTCTGCAGAGCATGACCAGGAAAATATCTATGCCTCTCAGCAGTTGGCACACGCGCACTCTTAGCTAGAACCTCAAATGTTAGTAAAGCAGTACTCCTCTCTCTACCTTCACCACAAAAGCTAGGCAACAACTATCATGCCTTGTCGATTGTTTAGTGGTTCCCATCACTCCTTTTTGGCACTGCCATAGGGGTTAATAAGCAGGGACGCTGCCCTACCATTTGGTAACTTATTATTGGCAGGAAAGTGGAGAAGTTTAAACAAACAGTTATAAGGAGAGCTTTTAAGAATCATGTAACTCTATGATTTTTTTATTATCACGCCTTGTAAAGATGAAGGAAAGACTTTAGACCTCCAGAAACCCTAGCAACATCTAAAGAGTACCATGAAGAAAAGATATCTTCTCTGATTGAGTGGCTATGCTACTAGCTCTTTCCCTTTTTTCTTTTCTTGATGATCCTTGAACTCCATAGTGTTTTTTCTAGTCAAAGTCCCATGCAAACGCTATTCTTGGTGTCAACAATGTACAAGTTGTTTCTTATTTATCTTTTTAACAGGACGCCGAGTTATTAATATTCAAAATAATATCCATGATTGTGATTTTGAGCTTTATGCTTGCTATGCCTCTCAAACATGTATTCTGCTATTACCATATAGAACTGATCCACCTAATCAGAACGTATGTCCAATGTTTGCAATTTGCAGTCCGTCAATGCCAAAGACATTTTGAAAAGAATACAAATTATGGATGTTTTTCCAGCATTAGATTGTTCAAGTTCTGTAATCAATCATCAGGAAGAGGAGGATGATGATGAGTGGGTTGTTGTTAAAAAACAAAAAATTATCATTCTCATTCCTCCACCATCTCCACCAAGCCAACAAAATGTGAAAGAGACGAGCCCAAAATCAGCCAAGCAGTCAAAATCAGTCAAACATAGCTCCTTTGTTACCAAGGAGAAGACATCTGGACACCGCAGGAAAACTTGTAATATGCTTCATGTTGATGGTTCCGGTCAAGTTGACCCAAAACCAAAGCTGCAACAGCCACAGTCCTCATTTCATGCTTATTATGGCATTGGACATGTTGGCGCAGTGAAAGTGGTGGACAGAAAAATCAGAGCCATGAATCTGGAAAGTAAGCTTCGAAGCCTTGGTGGGATGAGAAAATGGCTTTCTTTGTTGGGACTTGATCGATTCGCACAAGTCCTCGAGATGAAAAACGTTAGCCAACATCAGCTGGTTAATCTTTCTACAAGTAAGCTCAAAGGTATGGGCATGAATGCAGTTGGGCCAAGGAGGAAGCTTATACATGCCATTGATCTCCTCTCTCAACCTTACTACAGCCAGAGGTGAGTTCTGTTGTATATATATTAATGTTGTTTTATTGTCATTTTACTTTCCCCGAACTGGCAACATTTCCATGGTGCAGATTTTCAGTGGCTGTTTAGTTACAAGCTGGATTTAATTCCATTAGCATTAAGTAAATCTTATAAATTTAGATTTAGATTTAGATTTCATTTGGAATATCTTTCTTACTGTTTAAAGCAGTTTTTTAGTCAAAAAAATTTATTTATTTGAATAGAAAACTACTTTAACAAATCTTATTTCCATTGAGCGAAGCCATAGTTAAATAGTGCAACTAAACAGCTCTTTGGTATGAATGAACAGCCATAGAAATGCTGTAGCATGTAAAAATGAGTTTTGTGAGAACCCTTTGGCATGAAAACATTAGAAGAAGTAAAAAAAGAAAACCTTCAAACTTGGGCGGTTATTATCCAAGTTAATATGATACAGAATCATCATATATGCCATATAAGCAAACCATCAAACAACTTGCAGGCGTTTCCATCTTCCATCACACAGAGAAACCCAAATGTTAAAAAAACCATTCCAAATCTATACTTTTTTAACTCCAGCGTTCTCTACTTGCCATTGATCCTCTCGATCACAGTAATAAGCCCCTGCGTCCCCATCTTCCCATCTCCATTAGCCACCATCGCCTGATACAGCTGCCGGCACAGAGCCGACCCTGGAAGCACCGCCGGCGATGATCCTTCATCGCTGCCATCACCATCCTCCAAACCCATCCCCAAATCCTTAACCATATACTCCACGAATCCTCCTGGCCGGAAATCCCTCTCTATTACCCGATCCCCCCAGATCTCCATCGCCGCCGACCCCGCTGCTCCACCTCGCACCGCCGCCAGGAATTCGCCGGCGTCAAGGCCGGCAGACCGCGCAAAAACCAGTGCCTCGCTTAGCCCCAGTAGACTACCCCCTACTGTGATCTGGTTCGCAATCTTGCTGCTCTGCCCACTCCCTGGTCCCCCCATCGGCGTTGCTTTCCCAAGTATCTCCCACAGAGGCGTCAGCCATCGTATTATTACTTCCTCCCCGCCCGCGAAGATCGCTAGCTTACCGTCCCGAGCGCCGACGTCGCCGCCGGAGACGGGCGCATCGATTGACCAGCAATCGCGGGCAAGCGCAGCGGCGGCGATCTCTCGCGCTAGGGCAGGGTGGCTGCTTGTGTGGTCAATGATTACGCCGCCGGCGGACAGTGCGGCGAGAACACCGGAGACGGGGTCAAGAACCGTGGCACGGACGTCGGAGGGGTGGCCAACCATGGTAAAGACGACGTCGGTGCCTTTAGCAGCGTCGGCAGGGGTTGAGGCGAGACGGGCGCCGGCGGCAGCAAGGGCAGCCGCTTTGGAAGGCGTGCGCGCGTAGACAGCGAGGGAGTAGCCGGCGGCGAGGATACGACCGGCCATGGTGGCCCCCATCACACCGGTGCCGATCCAGCCAACACGGGTCTTGTCGGGCCTGATGGGCCGGGGGTAGCCACCGCCAGCATCTAGCGTCTCCATTAAATCCGAACACAGTATCCGTGTTAGCCACTACTTGACCCTCTCTTATGTATTTTCATTGGCAAATTTTATGCAGAAGCTTTAAGTTGTAGGATTTTAGGAGTATGTTTAAGAATAAATTTAAAATGTATTCAATTTAAAAAAAGTGCGTTTTTGAGTTTAAATGTTTTTTTTTTTTTTTTTTTTTGGGGAATTAAAAATAAAGCTCTAGGTCGAGCTCGAACTGGATTGATTAATCAAGCTCAATTTCAAGCCTTATGTGACTCAAACTTGGCTCAACTAATTTACACCTCTATAGGTATATGTCACTGTGTGGCACTATTTAACCTGGTGCTTTAAATAGCACAGGAGTTTAGTGTTTCAACGTTTCTAATCTTTTTTTTTTTTCTTAATCAGTTGAGGTGCAGTTTTTTTAATGCTGATAATATTTTGGAGTAGCTCTAATGGTAGATAAGATTAAAGAGTCACATAAAATAGTTTGGTCATATAAAATTTCACCCTTTCGATGACTTGTTAGAATAGTACAAGTATTAGATCCAGCCTATATTAAAAAAATAGAGGTAAAATTAATCGGATTTGGTTAGAAAATATTAAAAATAATTTTATTTTTATGTTTAGGGTATATTTTGTCTCATAATAGGACACAACATAAAAAAATAATAATAATAAAAAAAAGAATTATGTTGCGGGCTTCATACAGGTTGAAGGCTTGTTTTGGACGGTTTTTTTTATTATTTTTGTAAAGCTAATTTTTAGTTAAAAAATATCTTAAAAGTAGGGAAATAAAAAATAATGATTTAAAACTATTTCAAATGAAGCCTAGGAGATTATTTAATGAATAAATACAAAAGTATTTGAAAATAATTACATTTTTGAAGATGTTCTATGGATTTAAAATAGAAGTATAATATTGATTTAAAAATTTCTTATAATTCTGAATACTCAAATAACTAACAAGATTATTAATTGCTCTCAAGTTAAGTAGAATAATGGGCAATCAAATAGCCCCACTTTTTATTTTTATCTTTAAAAAAAAGTGGGGAAGTTCCTAAAATTAAACTCATTAAAAATATATGCGTAAATTAAATAAATAATTCATCAAACATAAAATAATAATGATAGTTTCCTTAAAATATATTAGATCATCTTTAACTATGTTTAATTTATTTGCCAAACAATTCCTAATTGTTTTTGCATTACGAGGTTCTTAAACTTCTGTTTTGTGGACTATCTTTTTTCCCCCCTTTTTTCAATTATATATCGTTAATTGCTCCTTATCAGTCTACATATTCATGTGAAAAAATATTAAATGTATATCATATTTTATTCATTATTTAATTATAAAAACATAAGCATGTCTAATGTAGTATTGCATCAAATTTAACTTATATATATAAATTCTTATGATTTTTAGAATTTGATATTTGAATTGTCTAGGATAACCATGCAGGTTATATTAGAGTATTTTTATTTTGCATATATAATTTGAATTTCATGAGTTGCAAAAGTTATCTATCAATATTTTCCGGTTCATATAATTCAATACATGATCATGTGACCTATCTGAATAGTATGGGAGATGATCAAGTTTTATACTAGTCAAGTTATAAAGGCCCTAACATATTTATGCTCATATATTCCTCCATCTATTTTAATTAGATGCGAGATAATCATATAGAGATATAAGTGGAAGATGAGCTATAAGGGGGATCAGGCATGTCTCCTTCTATTTTAAATAGATGTGAGAATGATCAAGGTGAGTTATAAGTAGAATTAGAGTTATAAGCAATGCTTTAAAAATCGGACCGGACCGGCCGGTCCGACTGGTTCAACTGTGAACCGGGTTAAGGGCTGGTCCGGTCCAATCTGAAATCTGCTCGCCTTCACAGTTGAACCGGAGATCCGTTTTTGGTAAGGACACCAGCCAGGTGAACCGAGCGAAACCGGTCCCATGATTTTCTAACCGGACCGGTTCCAAGTTATTGAATTATTTATTATATTAGTTAATAAATTAATAAAATATATATACTAAATAAATATTAAACTTAAATCATTATCAATAAATAATATAAAGCATCTTAAATTAAATTAAACACACTATTATTAGGGTTTAGGGTTTAAAAAATTTTAAATATTTTAAATAAATAATAACATATATTTAAAATTATAATTAATATTAATATACTTTATTATAAAACATTTATCTCCAAAACATCATCAAGCATTTCACATCGAGTGGTGGTACTATGTGAGCTCTCTTAACACAAGAGAACTCAAAATGTTATGTTAACACTAGCAAGAAAGTCTTCTCAAGTGTGTGGGACTAAAGATAAAGAGTTGAGATATAAATGAACTTATAACATATATATGCATATAAAAACTATTTTAAACAGATTTTTAATTAATTATTTTTATGTAAATGAAACTTATTATTAGTAAATAATAAAAATTTATTTATTTATACACTATAAAAAATAATTTATCATTAATAATTTTATGTATTTAATTATTTATTAATTATTTAAGATATAAATTATAAAATGAAATTGGTATACACAACATAAACTGTAAAAGTATTTATCATATACATATAAAATTAGATATTTATATTAAATTTCCATAAACTTAGGTTTAATTAAATTATATATTAATATGTTTTATATATAATTATATGGTTATATCATTAAATTTAAGTTACATTAAAAATTAAATTTAAAATTCAAAAAAAATAACTTAAATTTAAATTTATCATATAATTTTAGAGTGTAAATTCTTATAATTAAGTAGAGATATTAGTTTTTCTATTATGTGAGATTTTAATTTAATTCTTTTACTTATAATTAATATAAAAAATTAATGTTTCATAGTTTTTGTTTGAAATTTATATTTTTGCCTCAAACTTTTGAATATAACAATATTATTATTTAATTTTCATTAAATTTTAATAATATTTATTAATTTAATTACGTCATTCCGGTTCGACTCCGGTGTAAGACCGATTTTGAACCGAGTGCATGAATTCCTCCCCAATCGTGTAATTCCTCTCACCCTTTTCATCAAAATTGGAATCATATCTCCCTGAAGTCTCTCCGTTGGTGATTCCGATGATTACCATTAGAAAAAATTAAGTTCAAAGTAGTGTGTAATTAAATAATAAATTTTTAATGTCACTCGTGAGGTTCTAGAATTAGGTTGTTAGACCTAAAAGTAATGATGCCCGAATGGTCTAAGGTAGGGAGAGGGAATTGGGTATTATATTTAAAAACTTACTCTTTTAAATCTATTTGTTAGAACCGAAATTAAACTTTTAATGAAATTTTTGATAGAAAAGGTTTTCAAGCGAAAATTTTCTAAAACTAATAAAAGATGCGAGAAAATGACTAAACAAGCAGAGAAAACTTAACGTACACCAAGTATTCTATAATATCGTCTACTAGGATCTAATCCACCTAGACCTATAACACCACCTCTTAGTAATTTGGCACTACTTGAGGATGGAAACTTACCAAATAGTGTCTCCTTATATTGCACCCGCAAGGAGCAAGGAGACAGCCTTTACATAACACTCTTTTAAATCCAACTTATCCATGTGCGGTAAGAGCCGTCAGATCACTTTACACAATCTCCAGGTGGAAGTCATGATGAACAACCGTCCAATCCTCGCCTTCATACTCTCCTATGTGTGGGTTGAGATCGAATACGCCTCGGCCTGTTCAACCTCTTCCAAAGTGTACGGTAGAGAACCGGATCTCTCCTTGACAAGCTTTCCTCACTTGACAACTCGTAGGAAAGAAGAAAGAAAGAGTGAAGTAATCTCAATCACAAGTTGAAAATCTTACCTTGACACCTTAAGACACTACAAAGCAAAGCCTTCACGACTGCTCCAGTGGAGTAGAAAAATCCTTCTTTGAATGTCTCTCCGTAATACTTCTTACTCGGCCTTTACTTTAACTCAATTTGGCATGAAGTTCTGCATGAGCAAAAAGTTGGGGTGACAGTCAAATTTGAATCTATTTAATACAAAAGCCACAAGTAAAACGCCCAAAAATGCAAGTTTTCGAGATTCTTATAATGCAGTGGATAATCCCGTATCATCGTAGGATTCGCTCTAGAACGCTATATTTAACTTAAATTTGTCGAAATACGTAACCTTAGTGTATATTTTATTCAATTATGATCGTACACCTAATCGATCCCGTAACGAACTAAAGTATTGTCGTACCAAAGCAACTAAACAATAGGCTTAAGTTATCTACTAAGGCTGTTCGCCAATTCTCACGGACGTAACCAACTGACAAATGAGTCAGTTTATAGTTCGTTTGAGGACGAACGGGAATTCGTCCTGGAGCAATTCATACAGAGACCGTTCGTTCTGGGACGAAGAGTTCATTCATCTGGACTAAACAGAAGACAAGCTTCATATACGAGCACGTTCGTCATTACGGGACGAACCTTATTTTCGTTTAGGACAAACAGATGCAAGCTCAATTACAGAGAAACGTTCGGTTCCTGGGGAACCACGAACCATGAAATTTCGTCTGACGAATAGAGCAACTAGTGAGAATCCCCTGAGACATTCGTGATCCTGGAATGATAACGAGTATTAAATTACGTCCTAGGACGATTAGACATAGGAAAAAAACATTTTCTCCTTCGCCTGTTCGATCTAATTGCTTCTCTAGGGGATAAATTGACATGATCGTACACTACGGCTAGATCGAACATCCGTTGTAGCTCGCCCGTAGATCAAGTTACAAAAATTGTGTTCCCCAAAGTAGTATATTGTGATTTTTTCACTCATTACAATCACTCCGCCTCTCACATTTCAACTTATGAATAATTTGTTGAATTGATTTAAATCTTCATATCTTAGGAGATTGAGTTTGTTTCTAAATAGATTAGTACACACAGTAGAGACCAACAACAAAATCTTTACAAAAAAATGTTAGGAG